TACAGGGGAAGGCCAGCGGCTCCAACCACATCACCGGCTCTTCCCAGCCTCTCAGGGGCCCCGTGACGAAGCCACCGCCCTCCTTGGTGCTCCCAAGGCCACACCCAGTGTGTCACAGAGCCAAAGCCTCTGCCTTACGTCCCTCCGTGGAGGCTGGCCTCTCTGAAAGGCTGTTTCCCAACCGCACTGCGGTGGAGGCTGGGTCTTATCAGAGAATCCAGGAGGGCAGGGCTGGAGACTGTCCCCAGATATCACCAGCCCGCAGCAGGGGCCGATTTGCCCACGGAGGTGACTTCCAGAGGCTCCCCTCCTGGACCCCTTCTCTGTCCTCCCTTCTCTTTATTGGGGAGGGGTATTGGGGACTGACCTCAGGGGTACTGGACCCCTGAGCCCCGTCCCCAGCCCTATTTTGCATTTTATTGAGAGACAGGGTCTCCCTGAGCTGCTTAGGGCCTCGCTTTGGCTGAGGCTGGCTTTGAACTCACGATCCTCCTGCCTCAGCCTCCTGAGGCCCTTCCCATATCCCATGGCCTCCTCCAACTCCGACCCGCAGCCAGGGATCCCGTGGGCGGGCAGAACGCGGGAGGGGCCCCGGAGGCCGAGCAAACAGGTTTTGCCTGGTTTTGAGAGTCGCTTTCCAAGTGTGACTCACGCACACGCGGGGAGGGCGTGGGTGTCGCCCGGGCCTCCCGGTTGGGCCTCCCAAAACCCAGGCGTGGAGACAGCCCCTGTCTTGCGAGATGGGCGGGAATCTGCCCTGCGATGGGGGCAGGGAGCCCAGCCAAGGGTCCCCGGGAAGGAGGGGGGGCTCTCAGGGCGCGGCCAGCCCGGGCGGTGGACATCGCGCGGGCATCTTGCTCTCTGGAGGCCACGGACATCAGAACTCGTGTCTCTGACTTGCTTTCTGGTGGCTTGCGCTGGGTGGCCTCTGAATCCAACCCTGCTGTGTTCTGGGACCCCTAGCCCCACGCCCCCCCAGGAGTTGGGGACAGCAGCCTGCTGTGCTGTCCTCTGGTTTCAGGCTGGTCCTCGGCGGCCGGTCCCCGGGAAAGGCCGGTGGAGACTCGCCCCTGCGCGCAGAGCGCAGCATTTTTTGCAATAGAGTCCCCGGGCCCCGCGCATGCGCACAGAGAGAAGTCGTGCGGCGGATCCTGCAGGGGGCGCTGCGAATGCAGCTGCAGACATCCCCCGGCCTCGTCCTGCAACCAGACCCCGGCCCAGGCCGCATTGGGTGCAAAAGCATGCAACCTGCAAAGACCCTCGGATCCTGACCTCTGTGCACACCCGCCGCCGGTTACCCGTGCACACAGCCAGCAGCCCGGACCCCGCGGCTCGGCTCCACCCAGAGGAGAGATCAGGCCCCGCGCGGGGCTTGGAAATAAAGGGGAAAAAAATAAGAAATAATAATATATGTATTTTTTTTAAAGGGTTTCCAAAGCCCTGGCCGGGCGCAGCACCAATTCCAGCAGAATTTGCACACGAAGCGGCGCGGAATTGAATGCAAGTCTACCGAGGCCACCGGATGGCAAACACAGCTGGCTCCTCTATTGTGTGGTGCAAACCAGCGTCACCTCATCTGCAAAACCTCTGCCTTCCCTAGTGACGGTTGGTGGGGGCCCTCCACCCCTGAGCCCCCTCCGCAGCCCTATTTTTGCATTTTAATCAGAGACAGAGTCTCCCCCGAGCTGCTGAGGGCCTTGCTTAATTGCTAAGGCTGGCCTCCAAATTGTGAGCCTCCTGCCTCAGCCTCCGGAGCCGCCGACATTGCATTACATTACACGGCACTCCTCACGATTTAAAAAAAAAAATTTTTTTTCCTATAAAGAGGATTTTTAGCGATTTCTCGGAAAGCGGTTGCACAATGGCTTTCTGAGTCTCTGGATCTTGAGGAACTCCCTGGAGCCCTTGCCCAGCACGTGGGAACCCCGGGGGGTGGATTCTGAGCTCTGCAGACACAAAAAGAAACAAAGTAACCAACAAGGAAAGGCCGCTGTGCCCTGCGCAGCCGCCCGCCCTCCCTGCATTTCTGTCCAGTGTCTGAGCACCTCAAACTCCACGGGTCTCCCAGGCTCCCTGCAGAATCAGCTCACCGTCTGTCTACTTTGCAGGGACTGTCACCAGAGACCCCCCCACCACAGCCACCGCATTGCACGGAGACCACCGCAGCCCCAGGCAGAGAACAGTTCTGCAAACACACCCGCCCGGTACGGACTGCCCTGCCTCCTCCTCCACCCTCGCAGCCCACAATTAGTGTTTCAGTAGGCATTATGCACCTCATGCATACACCACCCACCTGCCGTGGTGGAGCCTGGGGACGTCCCCAGCACCGCAACCAGGCTGTTCACACTGCCAGCCTCCAACCTACGAGGCTCAACAACCTTCTCTTCTTAATAAAATACCCGGCCTCAGGTATTCCGTGCTGTCCACGGAAAATGGACGAAGGAATACGGGAAGCACTCGGAGAACTCATGTCACCCTTCCCGCCACCAGAAAGACCCTTTTCAAGGGCAAATGAACAAGGCCCTGGAAATATTCGTTTATGCACCTGTCATACGCCCAGTCAGCCGACGTCCCCATCCATTTCCAACGAAGATAAAGCAAGTGACTTCCAATGATTGTTGGTGGCCACCTCTGGACCTCCTACAAGTGGACCGTGACCCCCCAAACGGAAGCAAGAACGTCTAGATTTCAAAGTCCTATAGTCTCAGGCCAAATGCACCGGGAGGTGACATCTACAGGTGGCATCGCGGTGTGTAAGTGTCTCCCTTGAGGTTTCTGGGCCCTGGACAGCAGCACCAGCCCTGGGCATCTCCTCCGCCCATTCACAACCAGCTAGTGACACCCTGTCTTCAAACAGGACAGACAAGAAAGGCCAGCGTAGACCCGTCTGGAGGGAGCCTGTCCCTTCCTGACCCACGATTCTGCCTCTCCCAATCCCCTCTGTCCATCATGCCCTGGAGGACCCTCGGGGGTCCCACGGACCTTCTCCATGCGGTTCCACCCTACAGTTGCCAGGTCCCTGCGCAACCCCATGCCCCATCCCAGAGCCTGGGAGGCGGGCGGAGCGTCTGGGCGGTTCTTTAGTAAACTTTGGCGTCAACTCTTTGCAGGACTCGGACCTGCGGGAACCCAGGCTCCCGGGGGCGCCCCGTGCTCACCTGGGGCGCGCGGCAGCAGACACAGGAGCAGCAAGAGGCCGGGCAGCCGCCGCCGGGTCTCCATGGCTGGCTGAGGTCCCCGGGAGCGTCCGTCCCACGTCGCAGCTGGTCTCCTCCGGCCGCCCCGCCCTGCCCTGTTGACGCCGCTGTCCCCGCCTGGGCGGGCAGCGAGCGCTGTGTCCAAGTGGAAAA